CTATTTAAACACCAAATCAGTTTCACCCTTATCTACACAAACTGATTATCTTAAAAATGGAAGGTTTAGTGATTCTCGAAATGCTTGAAGAAATTCAAGTGTTACTTGTTGAACGTGTGTCTAGTAATTCCATTAAAGATCTTTATAACCTCAGAGCATCGTTCAAGTCGATGAAGGCGTTAACAGAGTGGCGGAGGGTATATAATTTTTTTGATTTGCTATCATATCCCTGGGAAACCCGTATGCCTATTTCGTTGTTCCCAACTTGCTACGCTGAGGGAAACCCAAGCACACTATATATCAAGGGTGTCCAGTTGTTCTTCACATTTGACCTTCAAGAAGAAGGACTTACTCTCATGAAGAGTGCATCGGATGCAGGATATGAGCGTGCCGTGTATAAATACGCAATGATTAGGAGAATCTTTTGGGATGATGAGGAGTATTTTGCTCGTTTAACAAGGGAATCTGCTGATAGGATTAGGAAACAAGTGCAATCTGTGAAATGGGATGGGGTTTGTTGCATGGGGATGACTTCTGCGCAAAGAAGTTGGAGTTCATTTCATCGTTATACCATTGTTCTCCAACTTTAGTTATCCTTTATACATTGAAGGTTGCGTACAATGTTTCTTTTAGTCGTATAAAATTGTTTAGTTTTTGTCTGATGAAAACAAAGCCTAAAAGGCTTGCTAAAAAACGCGAGCAGGATGATTGCCTGCTCTGATGAACATAGGGAAATAAGGGGGAGAAGCCAGCGAGCTGAAGGCTAAAAATTGCTGCTTTGTATGACTTGATCTTATTATACGAAGGATTTCTCGCGTAAGTAATGGGTGACCACTTTTATGAAGGTAGTAAATAGGTGCTAAGTATGAATGTGTAAAGTAGCGATGCTTCCGCAGATTTTACGAGAAACGTTTTTGTTTTGTTTTCGATCTTTGGTGAAAGTTGCTTGGAGTCATGGAGTTTTACCGAAGTCTATTTCGTTAAGATCTAGTTGCAGATGTTTTTCGTAGGTGTTTGACATATTCGTTTCTCAAGCGGGGCAAAGTGATTAACCAGCGGCCGATCTAGTCAACAAGAGGAGAGAAAGCGTCCTCTTTGTTGTGCTCGCTGCTACTTGTGTTCTAGATTTTTCTTTGTTGCAAATGTTTTTTGATGAGGTATCGCATTGTCTAAGTTTCTGCCTACTGGCGCGAGAGTTAGCTTTGTCGAAAGCGTTTTCTTGATGTCAAGGCAAAAAAAATTTGAAGTATGGAGTACATAGTACACGTACCTACTCCCTCCTTTTTTTTGTTACAAAAGAAAATGGCTGAACAGATATTTTCAAGGGTTGTGTACGTTTTCTATTTCGAAGAAAGAGATGATCAACAATCCAAGTCAGTTTAAAGACAACGCTAGGAGTGTTACTTAGTGACTTTAGGGTTGACGACTAGGAATATGTCAGTTTTAAGAAAAGTGCTAGGAACGAGTTGGTTTTAAGACGACGTTTGTGTTTCTGGTTTTTTCTTTTACAAAGCGAGCTAAGTATGTGTGGCGATCGTTTCTCTTTTTTTTTTCTAGAGTTTAGATCGGTTTGTAATGTCTCCTCTCTGTTTTTCTTGCTTATTTCTCCTTCCTCCTCTTGTGTCTGTGCGCCCCATAAGAATATTGATTCTCTCCGGTCTTGTTTAGGGTCGAACCTGTCTTGCAGTTTCGGTGCGTCGATCCATAATTTTTGATATTGGTGTTTATCCTTTAAAACTTGACTTTATCATCTAAACCTGACTTTTATATTCTCCTGCAAATAAAAAATAAACCATCATTGTATCATTGCGCTCAATTTCGTATGAAATCGTAAGTGGGCCTTTAATTGGCATTTAAGACCTCTTCGGACTGTTTTTCGACTTAAACGTTTTTACGATTTCTTCAAAAGAACATTTTTGATACGGTGTCGATTTATAAAGAGTTCAAATCTCTCAAATATTTGAGGCAAATTTGATGTTAAGTAAACCGTTGCCAGTTTAAACGATCAATTCAAACTTATACGAGGAAACAAGTCTTCACGGTTTTTATTGTAAAGTTCCAACGTTTACTCTGATTGAAACAAAACAAAAAGCATTTCAATCGAGATTCAAGAGAGAATTTCGAGGAGTGCTCCAACTAGCCATAGGGCGAGTTGGGTGAGCTTGTCCAACTCGCCCACTGGCGAGTTGGTGCGTACATTCCCGACTCGTCGAGCTTACTTTTTCCGTCGTAAAATCTCAACGGAAAGTCTGATTGACATGAAACAAAAAGCATTTCAATCGAGATTTGAGAGAGAAGCTCTAGGAGTGGTCCAACTTGCCATAGGGTGAGTTGGGTGAGCTTGTCCAACTCGCCCACTGGCGATTTGGTACTTCAGTTCCAGCTAGTCGAGCTGACATGTTTTTGTTGTAAAATCTCAAGATAAACTCCGATTGACACGAAACGAAAAGCATTTCGATCGAGATTCGAGAGAGAAACTTGAGGAGTGGTCCAACTCGCCATAAGGCAATTCGGGTGAGCTTGTTCAACACGCCCACTGGCGAGTTGGTGCATACAATCCCGACTCGTCGAGCTGACTTCTTTTCATCATATAATTTCAACGGAAACCCCGATTGAGTCGAAACAAAAAGCATTTCGATCGAGATTCGAGAGAGAAGCTTGAGGAGTGGTCCAACTCGCCATAGGGTGAGTCGGGTGAGCTTGTCCAACTCGTCCACTGGCGATTTGGTGCGTACACTTCCGACTCGTCAAGATGACTTGCTTTCGTCATAAAATTTCAATGAAAACTCCGATTGAGACGAAACGAAAAGCATTTCGATCTAGATTCGAGAGAGAAGCTCGAGGAGTTATCCACTCGACATAGGGCGAGTTGGATGAGCTTTTCCAACTCACCCATTGGCGAGTTGGTAGTCGAGTCAGTGGGCGAGTTGGTGCGTACAGTCCCGACTCATCGAGCTGACTTGTTTTTGTCGTAAAATCTCAATGGAATCTCCAATTGAGACGAAACGTAAAGCATTTTGATCAAGATTCGAGAGATAGGCTCTATGAGTAGTCCAACTCGCCCACTGGCGAGTTGGTGCGTACAGTCCCTACTCGTCGAGCTGACTTGTTTTCGTCGTGAAATCTCAATGGAAACTCCGATTGAGACGAAACGAAAAGTCTTTCGATCAAGATTTGAAGGAGAGAAAAAAAGGAGCTAAATGGGACTTTTTAAGTCTAATTTCACGAAATTTGTTGTGCGAAATGTTAACGAGTTTAATTCTACAAAAGTTGTTTCGTAGAACGTCGCCTAGTATATTTTTTACGAAATTCGTTTCCCGAAATGTTTTCAAGCATAATTTTACGAAAGTTTTTCCGTAAACTTAATCAGAAATTTTTCCGTTTTGGTGGGATTGATCCGTGGAAGTATCGAGTAGCTTTTCTGAAATAAGCTTAGTATGTAAATATCGAGAATTAAGTAGATGAATATGTCACCATAGAAGCGACTCTTAAGTACTTTACGAAAACCTTAGGTTTCATAAAGTTTTTAGCAGTGAGGGATATGATCTCCCATCTTGCTTTGTTTAATCTCGTAAACTATTTTTAGGTTTCGAGTGATTTTTCAGAAACCAACTTTGTTTCTCCAAAATTTATTTGGAAGAAATACAGCTGTGGGGGTTGCGTACCCAATTTCCTGTCTTTTTAAATCGTACGACGTTTTTTAATTGTTCCGTACTTTGATGCGAGTGTTTGATAACTCCGTATCTCTGTAGGATGTCTATAGTTTTCTCGTATGTTTTTTTCCTGGGACTTTTAGTCATTGATTCCTTCGTGACCGATTTTGACCCCAACAACAAATATGTTTGACATCCAACAAAATCGGGATTATACTCAGCACGATCAGGATATCACTCCATCCAAAGCCTCAAAACTCCAATAGTAAACCTCTACACTCATGGTACTGAAGGAACAGAGGCAGTCTTCAATTGGATTCCTGATGTGTGGACAGGGAATTTCTCCCTAAAACTGAAGGTATTCCTCTGGTCAATCATACAAAAAGTTTTACCATCAGGAGAAAATCTACAAATACTCGGCATCGTCAACAACATCCAATGTGTAGGATATGGAAACTAAGAAACAACCAATCACATTTTTCTGGAGTGTGCTTTTGCACAACAGGTTTGGCTGGAGATTCCTTGGCCTCAAGCAGCTCACCTAGCTTCCCAAACAGATTTTAAATCAGCTAATTCGATACAGAGATCTTGTTTGTCTACCACAATCAGGGATCACATGAAATGTCTTCATGTGGATCTGTTGGACTCTATGGACTGCTAGGAACCAGCTCCTGTTTGAAAATCGCAATCAATCAAGCAAAGAAACAGCCACCAAAGGGATACAAGCAGCAAGAGAATGGACGATGGCACAATACAAATCTTACCAGGGAAAACACGGATCGAAGTTCAGGCTTCTCTGGCTTAGGACAAAGTAACAATGCAAGCATGATTGGGCTGGGTCTTCACTCACACAGCAAGCATCAACGACCGCCAAGGAACTTGATTACAACACCATGTAAGATCGCCTATGGCAGAAGCTCTGGTTGTTCGGTCGGCACTTCAAAAGGCAGTACTCCTTGATATAACCAACGTCAAGCTCTACTTTGACAACCAAACTCTTATAAGAGTCATTAACAACAAATTTCTTCGACAAAGAAATCTATGGTGTGGTTCAAGACATCATAATCTCTCTGCTCTATTTGTTCATCTATCCTTCTTCTCAATTTCTAGGGCTGAGAATATTAAAACCGATCTTTTAGCCAAAAACAGATTCAGAGCTCACTTACTGTAATGGATTATGAACTATAGCCCAAATTCATTTCTTCTTTATATCACATGTAGTTAAGAGAAGAAAAAAACAGTGTTTAGAAAAAAAATATTTTCTAAATTATATTATGTTTTTAGTTTATGATAAAATAATCAATTAATCATTTTGATATTTGACTGAAAATAATTTACAAAAAGTGTACTGAGAAACTTTTATTTGATATTCTAAAATATTTTCATAACTATCATGTTCTATAGAGTTTTTTTACTATACTGTAGTTGGTCACTTCACAAGGAAGCCATTAATAGATTTTGGTGGTAAACAAAACACTATACACGCTCATATATCACATACCAATAGCTCATTACAAAAATCAACTTATCTGTTCAAACGGGAAAATAATCACCATCTCTCATCACCAAACCAATTATTCTTCTCCTTTGGTCCCGTTGGTCCTTCCTCGCCAGATAACTCCACCGGAAGCTTCCTCAAAACTGCATCAACCCAACACCTTAACCTCCACGGCAATCTCTCATTCAACTTCTCAATCTCCGTCCTCGATCCATACACAATCTTCGGTCCCCACTCTCTCATATAACCAAGCCAGAGCGGCTCCACCACCACTCCTCCTAGATACTCAGCCGCCACAACCTCATACTTCGAACTCGAATCCACAAACAAATCGCTTCTCGCTGTATCATTCCTTATCCCAATTCCAAGCAAATCTGATCCTTGTAGATACAACCCGGACCTAGCAAAGCTTGCATGACCATGCTTGGACGAGTAAACAACAGCTTTATTGCTTCCTTGGACGAACTCTAAATCTTGAGCTTCCACCCACTCGCCGCCGCTGTGCTGAGAGAAGTAAACAGCGTGAAGTTCACCGGAAAAGTTGCTGATTCGGAGAGTGAAATGCTCCCAATCACAAACGTGTTGACCAGTTTTAGCCAAGGAGAGGTTCACAAGGCCGAGCTTTAGAGTCGCTGGTCCGTTAAAAGGACAGAAAATCCAAAACACAAGATCAGTGAAGGTCCCTCCGAACGCTGGCTTAGCATGAACATAGAGCTTGGCGGATTCAAGATCTCCTCGCTTCAGAAACTTTCTTCTCAGTTCGTCATTATTCGGCAAATCAATCCAAAACAGTTTATCATTGGTTCCACCGTGAGGCAAGTTGGAGCCGTTTTCAGCAAGAGGTTCTTGGATATCAGAATCAGAGCTGCACAAAACGGCACCGTTCTCGAAAAACCAAGAGACTGAAGAAGGTAAATAGACTTCATCAGGGTGGAAGAAAACTGTCGGACCATAGTGTTGAATCAAAGCATGGATCTGGTCAAAATTTGGCATTGCGTGTAAACTAGAATCAAGGTTTTTCAAACAAGTGATGTTGGTACAGAGATGATCTTCTTCCATCTCCTCCGTGGAGATCATCAACGGAGTTCTACAGAAGAATGTACCTGCAGAGACTCCTTTGCCCCACATTCCGCGGTCTGAAGGTCTTGTTTTCCGTATAAACAGAGGAACTCTCAAAGAATCTGATAACGCGGTGATAATGACTCTATGTGCTTCACATTTATCGGTTAGATCAGCTCGAACACACCTAACTTGATCCAAATCAGGTTTCGAGGGACTCGTTGTAACCAAGAATCCGACCGGTTTATACCCACGTGGAGGCTGCGGTAACCAGAAGTAACCGCAGCCACCGCTTTTAGGTTCTTCTTCTGATAAGTCATTGGAGGTCCAGACCAATGTATAATCAAGTGGCTTCGCAAGTGCAGACTTGACGACTTCTCTTGCTACAAGAACAAAACCTCTCAAGAGGTGAGAATCAGACTGACAGTAATGTCCTAAACAGTGGAAGCTTTCAGGTATTTTGTCGGGTTTGTAGAAGGAGACAGACTTGGTCTTGTCTCGAGGAGAGACGTATCGCCATAAGAATTCAAATGAATTTATCTCGGCTACTTCTAAATTGCCAAGAATGATTCTTCTGGAAGCAAAGCCTTGACCTAATCAACTCAAATCAATACATAAATTAAAAGATATCTGATGAAATTCGGGTGGAACCATTTGTGGGTGGACTGGATCAGATCATATAGAAACTAAAGTTACTAAATCCAGAAACCTAATCCCGACGAAAGAAACAGGATCGTGAGTCATTTACCTGAAGGCCAGTGGGGGAGAGAAGCAGGGAGCGAGAAGGTTTGAGGTTGCTTCAATGGCGGTAATTCTGTGAGATTGTTCCAATAGAGACATTTGCATCCAAACATTCCTTTCTGTCTCTCAGATCATCCGTTGGTTCGGGAAACCGTAATGGTAAATCAAACCGACATATGTCAAACAAAGCTTGTAGGGTCTCTCAATCGACCACAAATCTCGATTTTTTTTTTTTCGATAATTCCTATCCCACATAAAATTAGTCAATAACAATTTTATTTTTGCTTTCGTTAAAATTTATAAACCCAAAAGTTTTCACCGTATACCGATCGTATCGCAAGGCAGAAGCTACCTTTTTTTTTTTGAACAAAAAGGCAGAAGCTACCTTGACCCATAAGAATCTTACCTTTAGACTGGGAAAAAAACTATGTTATTATGTGATGATTCCAAAGTGCTACTTGGTAGTTTTCTTTTTAACAAAAGTTTTCTGAATAAAAGTAACTAGATATTAATAAGTTTCTTTTTTCGAAAAATAGTTATTAATAAGTTAGTTCATTATCATCGGGAAGTGTATAGTTGCATGTATCTGTATTATCAAAGAGAAATTTCCCTTAGTAATCTCTTTTAGTTTATCTTCATAATGAAAACATTCAAAATAAAAAATGACTAAAAGAGTTTGGAATGACTGCTTATTCCCCCCTGTAAATATTAGAACCCTATCTATTCCCCCTATATTTTCCACCTCATGAAAAGACCAACCATAGATATGATTCGCTTCATATATCTCCCTAATCTACTTAGTTCTGCCTATATCCCCTTCTCTAATCTAATTTTGAAATATAAATTGAAGATAGATTAATTGTGTTTAATAAAATATCGATTGCCCGTTAAATAAATTCTGACCCGACCCATTAACATCCAACCAAATCAATTAAAATTGTAATCGATTTGGGTGTAAGTAAAAATTAGGATTTTGCCTATCTTTTTCTCACGCTACAGAGAGGAAAACCAAAGAGATGAGGAAGATAAACGAGAGAGAGAGAGAGAGTGGAGAAACAGAAAGCGACGAGAGAGAAGAGAGAACATAGAGCAACGAGAGAGAGAGAGGATAGAACAGAGAGCGATGAAGAACAGAGAAACAGAGAGAGAGAGAGAGAGAGAGAGAGAGAGAGAGAGAGAGAGATGAGATAACAGAGAAACAGAGAGATAGAATAGAGAAAAACGAGAGCATCACTGTTGTCAATCATGAGTAGCTCAGCCTCTTCTTCGTTGCCACAAAGGAGAACAATGGGAGGCATACCAACACAATGCTGGTGTGGTAAGAATGATGTCACCTTTGTCTCAAGGACAAAAAAATCCATATAGAAGGTTTTACAAGTGTGATAAGAACACAGGTATGAGAATCATGTGTCGCTATTGTATCTTTGTCACGTTACTACTTTGAGAATATTTAGTAACCTCATTGTTCCTTGTGTTTGATAGTAGAGAAAAATGGAGAGGCATCTGTGATAGATGAGATAGAAAAGGTTGATGCAAAACTTGAGAAACTTGTGAATGATGTCAAGGATTTACGAAAGAGTATGATTTAGCATCTAGAGTTTCAGAAAACAAGGTCTGAGAAGATGAAAGAAGAAGCAATGAGAAGATGAAAGAAGAAGCAATGAGAAATAAGAGCTCTTTGAGTTTCAAAAAACATGTTCTTTGTGTGGTTTGGCTCTATATAAGAATCCTTTTGTGTTTTGGAAGACTTATGTAATGAATTTTTGTCCCTTTCTCTAATATCTTTGGAAAATGTATTTCTCGTACATGAACATGAGTTTGGACACAAAAGCACAAGTTTTAAATTAAAATAAAAAAAGTCTTACATAAGAACAGAATAATTCTTAAATAAAACAAAAGCACACGATTGAACACAGTCACAAGCTGTCTAACATAAAAAAAAAACAGAACCAGTTTGACATAAACAACTGAAACACAGAAGCCACAAGACAACTAACACAAGCCACAAACTCAATTTAAACACAGCTTGACTAGCTTTAACTCTGCGTAGGTTGTGTAAGCCTTACTTCATCCTGCTCTTGAGAAAAAGTTCCCTAACATTATAACCATGAAATAATTGTCTTAGTTTAATCAAAAAAACTATATATTCACTAGATCAAAAAAAATGTCATACCTCCTCAACACTCATCTTTTTCTTTTTCTTTGGATGAATCTTACAACCGTTTGCATTATGGCCAGCCTCTCCACACTTTGAACAATGGATTGTTCGACCACCTCTTCCAAGCTTTTCAACCTCTCTTTTTTTCTTCTTAGGTGATTCATGATTCCCTTTTATTCTAGGGAACTTCTTTTGTTTCTTCTTCTTCTTTCTCCCAGGCTGGTCAGGCTCTGGAGAAGCGATTATTAGTGGCAAACCTGATCTCATCCACACTCTTGGTCCTCTAACTGGCTCGAGGTTCAGGTCGTAAGTGTATTGCCAAATCAGTGTAGAGAAGAACCCTGAAACGTGCTGATCAACATTCAAACCGGCATCCATCATTGCTCCATAAGCATGTTCACAAGGAACTCCACTGATTTGCCACTTGCCACAAGAACATGTTTGCCTAATAGTGTTAACCCTATATGAATTTACATCATAGGATACCTCAAACACTCCACGGGTTGCTGGTGTAGTTGTGCATACATCTGCTATCTTCTTCTCCACTGCAAGCATCTTAACAACATATTTTGAACAGATTCCCTCATGTCTATGTGAGGTTATGTTTCGTTTGGCGATGCGTTTCATAGCTTGTCTTCTTATCATCTCAAGCATTGGTATCATTACCTTTTCTCTTGCTCTTGCTCTCGTGATAGTTGAGTTAAAAGACTCAATAGCATTGTTATCCACATCTTCACAACAGCTCCCAAGTTTATAAAATGGACGAGACCAAGCTTTCGGTTCCTCCTTCATCACATCATTGTACAAATGTATGTCGTATGCCTTTAACTTCTTCACATTGTAGTCAAAATCTTTTATAGAGTAACTCCGAGCAATGTCCCACACCATAGGTTTCAAAAAATCCTTCTTGGCATGATTCTTTTTCAAATTTTCAACGATGTGTTTTACACATTTTCTATCCTCAGAATTTGGTAACTGCACCTCTACAGCACTCTTCATCCCCTTTGATCGATCTGAAATTAGTACAAATCCACTGCCATCCTTCAGAATTAAGTCCCTCTTCATTTGTTGGATAAACCATAACCAATTTTCTGTTGTCTCGGACTGGACTACAAACCAAGAAATGGGATATATCTGATTGTTTGCATCATGACCCACTGCAGTCAGCAATACTCCTTTCACAGCAACCTTCAAGAATGTACCATCAACTCCAATGATCGGCCTACAAAATCCTCTCCAAGTGTCTCGAAGATTCGCAAAACAAACATAAAACCGATTGAAGACATCTTTACCATCCTTGTTTTTATAGGTGTTTACTATGGTTGTGGATCCTTCATTTGAGAAGAGAATCTCTTGTGCATATCCTCAAAGGTTAGCAAATTGCTCATCATACTCTTTTTGAAGCCATTTTAACGCTAGAAGTCTCCCTCTTTGACACTGATTCCTTGTGCTAATTATTTTCCACTTCTCTTTGATGATGTTTTGGATGTCTTCAGGCATTAAATTTGCATTCTGCCTTAGCTTATCAAAGAAAAGCCTAGCAATCACTGGACTCTTCGAAAGCTTGCATTTCCCATCAGGTGAACAACTATGGTACTTGTACTTTGTCTTCAATAACCATTTCTGACTATCCTTATCGTACGAGCAATAAAGCCTCCATTTACACTTCCCACTGATGCCACACACAAATGAGACTTTTGTCTTATCCCACCTATCTTGCTTTATGTTTCTTCCGTTAGTTAAAGCATACTCTAAAACAATCTCTTTAAACTCATACAACGTGTAGTAACTACTTCCCAAAGCTAATTTATCTTGTTTTCTGTTTCTCATCCGCTTATCACGCAAATCAATTTCATCCTCTGAATCATCCGAACTATCTGGAATCTCATCTCTTTCAGTTGGTATTTCATCCTTAAAATCATCTACTGATTCTTCAATCTCAAACAAATATTGGCCCAAAGTATCTTCAACTTCATCCATATTACCTTGTTTTCCAAACTTGGTGTTCTCCTCATACTCAAACTCATTTTCATAAACTGTTTCAAGTTGCGTCTCAGCAGTATTAGACACGTTCACCTCATCTCTGTCATTACAAATCACCCATCAAACACAAAGAAACACATTAAAAATTGAAAAAAAAAATACCTAGCAGGAAGAGATCTTTCAAGCTCCTCTGTACTACCAGAAATCAGAGTAACTGCAGGTTCAAGCTCCTCTGAACCGTCCATTAAGTTGTCTCTGTTTCGTGATTTCTCCATATCCGTGCTACCCACACCAGACTCTCTAGTCTCCATCGACTTCGTTTCTTCTCTCCCTCTCAGATTCTATTGTCTCTGTTCTCTGTCGTAGAAAGCGTAGAAAAAAAAATTCAGTTTTAGGTTAACAAGTCGGGTCATGCAGATCGGGTCGGGCCGTTTGTGTTGTATAATCGATTTTGTATAATCGCGTTTTACAGCCTTTAATTGTCGATACTGAGTTTTGAATTGCAGGGGTTTAATTGAGCAGAGATAAAATAATTGGGGGTTAATATGAAGCCAATTATATGTATGGGGAGTTTTCTAATGAGATTAGTAGTTTGGGGGGATATACGTAGGGTTTAAGTATTATAGGGGGGAATATGCAGTCATCCCCAAGAGTTTTACCAGAATGCAAATATATTCTTATATGCCTAGACCCTAGTGTTCACTAATCTTATTTTTTTTTTTGTTTACAATTAAGGAATGGGGTTCTGGGTTGAATTTAAAATATTCAAAAATAAAAAATAAATATTAAAATTTTGAAAAATAATTTCGAAAAGTATTTTCATATTCTAAAAAAAAAATTAAAAGATCTGAAAAAGATATAAAAAGTGCGAATCTGAAAACATATAATCCAAAAATATTAAAAAAGCAAATATTATTGTATTTAATTATTTATTTTTATATTTATTTCTTAATTATTTATATATTTATAAAGTAAGGGCACAAAAGTTTTTTCCCTCTTTAACATAACTTTTTGGGTCATTTTCTTCTTTGAGTGTCCTTTTTATGACAAAAACTTGATTATTTGAGAGAATTGTCCATTATTAAAACCGAAATACAAAATAAAACTAATCTTATTTTCAATAAACTTATTA